ATATAGCCAGTGTATTGTGGAATTTAGCCTGTGGAAGTTAGCAATCAAGTAGCCAGGAAAGGGAAGTCCCAAAACCAGGGAAAGGGGAAGAATCTCACGCTGTGAGATAGGCAGTAAGTGCAGTACTTATCTGGAGCTCAATTGACCTGAGAGGTGGATTCAGGTGGATTTCCTGCAGCTTGGAAGAATTACTTCTAAGTTTTACAAAGAAGATAACACTTTAGACATGTTAGCATCACAATTGTAATCTGCACTGAAATATATATTGTAGAAAAGGTAATAGATGTACACATTTGTGTTAATAGCATAAGCATTTTTTAAGGTGAGCTCTGATAAGGCAGAAGCCTTTCGTGAAGTAGAAGGGACAAAAGCTCACTTGATCTTAACCTTTAGTATAAGCACACATTATGGAGATTTAAAATCTTGATCTTGGAACCATGAGAGTGGGTGGTTTGTTTTTATATTAGAGTTAGATTAATAAACCAGAGCTCTACTGATAAAGGTCAAAGCTCTGGACAGTCAGTATAACAGTAGCATAGCAACAGGAGGAACTATTGAGACTTTTTACCTATTTAGGATACCTTAAATCACCTTAGACCTTGCAACACTTATAACTTGCATTTGCCAACCTTAAAACATTTTCTTAGGCCCTCAAACATGTATAACTGGCATTTACCAACCTTAAGACACTTTTTTAGACCCTCAAACATTTTTGAGGGAGGCCTTTGTATCTAGTTATTTCCCATGAGACATAGGTGAGACTGCTGTGAACAGTTATTGTCCTTTAGCTAAAGGGATGGTAAAAGGTTTTATTTAGACCTGTTTCTTGAGTCTGGCAACAAGGCATATTGTGTCTAGGCCTGACAGTAACAACTCTAGGACTCAGGCTTAAGTCCTGGTCTTCTGGATATGAAGAGAACTGAGAGGGCATCTGCAGTCTCCCAACACAGAAGTTGGCAATATGTCCATAGGATTCCAGTGTAAGGCCAAAACAGACCTGCAATGTTACCCTGGGCTGGGCGAGGGTGGTGGAGGTCACTGAATCAAGGAGCCACTTGTCCTCTGCCAGGCCAAGAAGCTGGAAGCCTGGAAGTGTGTATGGCTCTTGTTCTGGTTGAGCCTCCATGTCTGGGCACAGAGGACAAGCCTACATGGGAGCATTTTGACTTCCAGAGGCCAGTCTGCCGGCAGGCAGCCATGGCTTGTTGAGGCAGCTGCGGGACCAGCGTCCCCTTTGGCTGCATTTGAAACAGTCACCTGGCAGAATTGACTTTTGGCTGTACCCTGGCGGGATGGGGTATTGCAGACCTCTTGTTTTTTTGTGTGTGGGAATGCCAACAGCCTCAGAGCAGCAGCCAAGGTCTGGAGAATAGTTTTTGGTGTAGATGAGCCTGTCAGGAAGGTTCCTGTCTTATTATTTTTACCAACTCCTGTATGGGTACTCAAGGACCATCCTCAGCTGTTATTAAAGATGGCAGGGAGACCATGTTTGCATCTGTAGGGCTATAAATATATTTTTGGACATGTTAGAGAATTTGATCATCTATGAGATGACTATTAACTTATATTTGTTAACCATTAAATATTAGGACTTTAGGTTTTGTCCCTGTTAAGTTGGAGCCTTAAAAGTAATAAATATAGTCCATTAAAGTGATAGCATAACAGTTTTTTGTATGATTTAGTATATAAAAAGTTCATAGCTTATAAAAGTCTAAGGCTCAGTGTTTTCAAAGCAGATACAAAAACTCATGACCAAACCTTCGGCAGAGTACAGGGAATCATATGAAAGAAGGGGAGTTAGTATGATGGGGAAAGGATAGGAGCTCCACCAGGACCAAATATATCTGGGCACAGGGTCTTCTCAGAGACTGTCATTCAACCAAGGACCATGTATGGATATAACCTAGAACCTCTGCTCAGATGTAGCCTGTGGTAGCTCAGTAACCAATTGGTTTCCCATAGTAAGGGGAACAAGGATTATTTCTAACAGGAACTCAATGACTGGCTCTTTGACCTCCACACCCCCCAAGGGAGGAGCAGCCCTGTTAGGCCACAGAGGAGGACTTTGCAGCCAGTCCTGAAGATACCTGATGAAACAGGATTGGATGAATGGGGAGGAAGTCCCCCCCATCAGTGGACTTGGAAAGGGGCACGGTGGAGATGAGGGAGGGAGGGTGGGATTGGGAGGGAATGAGGGAGCGGGACACGGTTGGGATACAGAGTTAATAAAATGTAACTGATAAGAAAAAAATAAAATTAAATTAAAAAAGAAAAAAAAAGTCTAAGGCTACACTATAGATTAATAATAATACCATTTTTAGAAAACAAGACCGAGCATACTTTAACCTTTTGATAGTAAAGATATAGCACAAAGACCAAGTTTTAACATAAATACCTCTAAAATTAATTGATCTTAATTTAGAATATTGGTAAAAACCTGACATAGAAACCCCCGAGTTATGAGTTTTAAAACCAACAATATAGTAGAACAGCATAAAGCAATTTTAAAATTACACTTGAATTTATTATAGCAAACCTATTAGCCAGAAAGCCTAGTGTGACTCTGGATCATAAGCAGCTCATGGCATGAGAAACAGCATTTATTAATTTAGGAATTGATAAAGACATATGCAGTTAAATGTACAGTTTAAATTAACTTAATTTGAATAGACATTTAGAACTTTGAAAATTTGGCATTATTGAACCAGGGTTGAATTACATATGTATTAAAATGTAACTTTGAATTTTTTTAAGCTAAACACTTTTTGAAAGTTTTATTAGCTTTTTAAAAAAAATTTATTAATTACACTTTATTTACTGTATATCCCCCCCAATCCCTCCCTTCCTTCCCCTTCTTCACGCATGCCCCTCCCCAAGTCCACTGGTAGGGGAGGTCTTCTTTTCGTTCCTTCTGATCCTAGTCTGTTAGGGCTCATCAGGAGTGGCTGCATTGTCTTCCTCTGTGGCCTGGTAAGGCTGTTCCCCCTTCAGGGGGAGGTGATCAAAGAGCAGGCCAATCAGTTCATGTCAGAGACAGTCCCTGTTCCCATTACTATGGAACCCACTAGGAGACTGAACTGTCATGGGCTACATCTGTGCAGGGGTTCTGGGTTATCTCCATTCATGTTACTTGGTTGGAGTATGAGTCTCAGGAAGACCCCTGTGCTCAGATTTTTTGGTTCTGTTGCTCTCCTTGTGGGGCTTTTGTCCTCTCCACATCTTAAGATTCCCTGTAATCTGCCCAACAGTTGGCCATAAGTCTCAGCATCTGCTTTGATAGTCTGCAGAGCCTTTCAGAGGCCCTCTGTGGTAGGCTCCTGACTTGTTCCCTATTTTCTCCTTTTTCTGATGTCCATCCTCTTTGCCTTTCTGGATGGGGATTGAACATTTTAGCCTGAGTCCTCCCTCTTGATTAGTTTCTTTAGGTGTACAGATATTAGTAGGTTTATCCTGTATTATAAGTCTATATGAGTGAGTATATACCATGTGTGTCTTTCTGCTTCTGGGTTAGCTCACTCAGGATGATCTTTCCAGTTCCCACCATTTACCTGCAAATTTCATGATTTCCTTGTTTTTTATTGCTGAGTAGTATTCCATTGCGTAGATGTGCCATACTTTCTGTATCCATTCCTCAGCTGAGGGGCATCTGGGTTGTTTCCAGCTTCTGGCTATTACAAATAAAGCTGCTACAAATATGGTTGAGCAAATATCCTTATTGTGTACTTGAGCCTCTTTTGGATATATGCCTAGAAGTGGTATAGCTGGATCTTGAGGAAGCGCTATTCCTAATTGTCTGAGAAAGCACCAGATTGATTTCCAGAGTGGTTGTACAAGTTTACATTCCCACCAGCAATGTAGGAGGGTTCCCCTTTCTCCACATCCTCTCCAGCATGTGTTGTCCCTTGAGTTTTTGATCTTAGCCATTCTGATGGCTATAAGGTGAAATCTCAGGGTCATTTTGATTTGCATTTTCCTGGTGACTAATGACGTTGAGCATTTAAGTGTTTCTCTGCCATTCAATATTCCTCTATCGAGAATTCTCTGTTTAGCTCTCTTCCCCATTTTTTAATTGGATTACTTGATTGTTGCTTTTCAGCTTCTTTAGTTCTTTATATATACTGGATATTAGCCCTCTGTCAGATATAGGGTTGGTGAAGATCCTTTCCCAATCTGTAGGTAGTCATTTTGTTCTGACAACAGTGTCCTTTGTTTTACAGAAGATTTTCAGTTTCATGAGGTCCCATTTATTGATTGTTGATCTTAGAGCCTGTGCTGTTGGTGTTCTGTTCAGGAAGTTGTCTCCTGTGCCAATGAGTTCCAGGCTCTTCCCCACTTTTTCTTCTAACAGGTTTAGTGTGTCTGGTTTTATATTGCAGTCTTTGATCCACTTAGGCTTTGGTATTGTGCAGGGTGATAAGTATGGATCTATTTGCCCTTTTTCTACATGTAGCCATCCAGTTAGACCACCACCATTTGTTGAAGATGCTATCTTTTTTCCACTGTATGGTTTTGGCATCTTAGTCAAAAATCAGGTGTCCATAAGTGTGTGGGTTTATTTCTGGGTCTTCTATTCAGTTCCATTGATCCTCCATTCTGTTTCTATGCCTAACTTTGAATTTTAGTAAAAATCCATACCAATTTAAAATGAGGCTTGTTGTTTTTAGTCTAAAAGGAAAAAAAATAAACAGTTATGATTAAGGAAGTCTTATAAATGTAAACCCAATGAGAAAATTATATAAATCATTAGATAAGATTTGAAGCATATATATATTATGATATTATTAAAGCATATATATTATGTTTCATATATATATGCTCTTAATATGTATATTAAGAGCAGAGTGTACAGAAATCAGGAAGAAAAGATTTTAAAAGCTTGCAAGTAGCACCATAAAGTTCAGTGTTTGAATGTGCATGGCTTGGAGTTTTGCAGAAGTGGGGGAGGGGCGAATGCATGGCTCGGCTTCTCTATTTAAAAGTCACCATGTGCTATGGCAGCTGCATTGGTGGTATAGTGGTGAGCATGGCTGCCTTGAAAGCAGTTGACCCGGGTTCGATTCCCGGGACAATGCCCCAATGTTAGGACCGAATTAAATAATGATGAGCACAGCAGATTTTATATGAAAGAGAATTATTAGATGGAGATGAAGAGAGATTTATTAGATGGAGATTTATTAGATGGAGATGAAGAGAGAGAGAAAAGGAGGGAGGAGACATGATACAGGGAAGAGGGGGTGCCCTGACAGAGAAAGGGGAGAGGGCAAGGGCCAAGAGCCAAGAGAGGAGAGTTGATCCTTTTAAGGAGCAAAGTACCCATGCCTGCCAAGGGTACCTGGCCTGTGGCACATGATGATATCATAGGTTGCTAGGCAACCCAGAAGCATGCATGAGCAGTCACATGACTAGGAGCTACACAACTGGTAACCCTTCACCCAGCAACCATCCCTACTTATTTTCTCAGGCATGGGAGGTGCCTCTTGCATATAGTGTGCTGCCTTTTGAACCTTCCTTGTTCTCCACTGGAGGATGCTGGTGATCTGTACGTTGTTAGTGTATCATGTGTGTAATCGCAGCTGCTCTGGTTTCAAGATGGAAATGGTTGTGTCATGCCACAGAAGAGAATTCTACAGCAGGCACCTTGACGGATTAGATAAAATTGCGACTAGTGCCATGATAGGCATGGGTATACAGATATTTATTAACTTTGGGGATTTTTTAGGGTATTTACCTAAATATAGATATAGCAGGTGGTAGTTTGATATTTTAACTTTGGGGAGAACATCCTTATTCATTTCTATAGTAGCTGCACTAATTTACCTTCACATCAAAAATAAAAATTATAACTTTTCCCAAAACCTTGCCAGCATTTGTTATTGTTATAGCATTTAAGAGCAATGCTAAACAAGGTGAGAGGGAATCCTTACGTAGTTTGGTTTGGATTTAACTGATGGCTTAAGAGATTGAGCCATTTTGTTGTATCTTTAATGGTCAGTTATTCTTCATCTGAAAACTGTTCAATCCCATTGTCCATTTATACCACCAAGTGCAGAAATTTGTTCTTTTGAATCTGAAATGTTTGAGTTTATTTTTTAACCATAGTCAAACTTTTGTAGATCTGGGTGCCTGAAACTCACTGGCCTCAAGATCATTGTTATGATATTCTTCAACCTCTCTAGTTCAGGAATGTTTTATACCTTCGAAATATTCAATATGCTAATTCTATGTTGGCAAAATACCTGGTAAGGATTGTCCATTATTGTATCGATGCCCAGAAACTTGTCTTCTAGGCAATTCTAGATCTTGTCAAGTTCACAAGTATCTAACTCTCACACATTATGTTCTCCAATTCTCTTTCTGAAAGTTTTCCCCCTGTAGCAAGACCAGATCTCCAGGACAGCAATGTATAAGTACCTACTCTTTTCTATAGGTTCCCAGTAACGAAACAATGCACAAAACTTTGACTCTTTTTTTTTTTTTTTGATAGATGGATTTTTGACACCATTGATGTTAAGAGTTATCAATGAACATTGTTTGCTGATTCCCATTATTTTCTTGTGGTGCTGTGGGGTTTTTTTTTTTTCCTTGTTTTTGATTTGCTAGTCTGATATTTATTCCTTGTGTTTTCTTCAGTGTGGCTAACTTCTTCAGGTTTAAATTTTCCTTCTATCACCTTTGATAGGGCTGGGTTTATAGACAGATACTACTTAAATTTGTTTTTATCATGATATGTATTTCTATTTCCATCTATTATGATTGAAAGTTTTTCTGGGTATAGTAGTCTGGGCTGGTATCTGTGGTCTCTTAAAAGTTTGTAGAAGATTTGTCCGGGCCCTTCTGGTTTTTAGAGTCTCTATTGAGAAGTCAGGTATAATTCTAATTTTATTTATATGTTATTTGGTCTTTTCCCCTTGGAGCTTTTAATATCCTATCTTTGTTCTGTAAATTTCGTGTTTTGATTATTATGGGACTTTTTGGGGGCCACTCTGTTTGGTGTTCTGCATGCTTCTTGTACCTTGATAGGAACCTCCTTTTTTAGATTAGGGAAATTTTCTTCTATAATTTTGTTGAAAGAGTTTCTGTGCCTTTAGCCTGGGTTTCTTCTCCTTCTTCTAGTCCTATTATTCATAGACTTAGTCTTTTCATAGTGACAAGATTTCCTGCATGCTTTTGAAGAGTTTAAGTTAGCCTGAGTATAACTCCATTTTGAAATAAAGAGCTGAATTCAGGTACCAGGAAATATCACAAAATGTGCACCTGGCAGAGAACAAAGTTAAATCTCCTAGCAACAGCCTCCAGGAAATAATACAGAATAAATGCTTCATAGAAAATAGAGACAATCTCCCTGGCAATAATCAATGGGAATCAGTTGGAAATCGGGTGGGAAAATTCTCCCCAATGTTTTAGATATAGTTTAGAAAAATAGCCATTGTGATTATGTGCCTCAGAAAAGGTCACCCTGCCCTGCTAAACTTCACCCAATTCTGTAACGCCAAGGCTTGTGCCCCCCTGCTTGCTGCCATGGAAACTCCCTGCTCACAGACTTTTTCTTTAAAAATCCTGCTCATTCAGAGCTTGGGGTCCCACTTCTCTACTGCTGCGTCAGTGAGTCTTGGGTCCCGAGTTTGATCGCTCTCATAATAAAGCTCTCTTGCAATTGCATCGAGTTGTCTCCTGGTGGTCTCTGAGGGTCCTGTGAACCTGGCATTACACTTTATTCCTGTATTCTTGTTTTGTTTTATATTTAATATATTGTGGACAGGTATTCATTTCTTCGATCTTGTCTTCAAGGTAGAAGATTCCCCCTTTTCGTATGTTGTATCTTTTTGATGAGGTTCCTGTTCAAGTTCCTAAATTTTTCATTTCTACTTTTCCCCCAGCTTTTATGTTCTTTATTGATTCTATTTGAACTTTCATGTCTTGAATATTTTTCTTTATTTCATTCCATTCTTTGAGTTTTATAGATTTCTTTCCTTCTTTCTTTTTTTTTTCCTTTATGTTTTTTTGAAACAGGGTTCCTCTGTGTAGCCTTGGCTGTCCTGGAACTCAATCTGTAGAGCAGGGTGACCTTACATTCAGAGATCTACCTGCCTCTGCCTCTCAAGTGCTGGGATTAAAGGCATGAAGCACCACAGCCCTGCTTCATGGATTTCTTTAACTGAGTCGAGCATTTCCTTTTTGAGGACTTGTAACAATCATAAAGACTATTTTGAAGTTCTTGTCTGGTGCTCCAGCTATATTGCATTTCTCAGGGTCCACTGTGGTAGAGTTGTTTGGCTTAGTAAAGAAATATTGTCCTGGCTGTTATTGATGGTGTCTTAACTCTGATATCTAGGCATCTGGGTTTCAAATAATTGTAATTCTAGGTGATGATATCTGGTCTTGTCTTTTTGGGGGTGGTTATTCTGTTTCTTGCTTTCTGTTACCCTCTTCAGTTCTTAGGAGAATGTGGTGTAGGTGGGTTGCCTGGTTACCCCTGAGATCCTCCCAGGGGTAGCCAATATGAGTTCCAGGTGCAATGCATTTCTACATTTCAGCTGGGTGAGACTATGAGGGATTTTTTTTTTTTTACTTAATCACTTGCTGGAGAAAGACCCACCATAATTATGGACCATTTAAGGTCAGAAGACTCCCCCTAAATCTAGGACATGTCTTCTGGTGGCAGTCCACAAAAAAAGAACACAAAAAAGGGAAGCTCTTGCTTTTTGCCTGCTTCCCCTCACTATCATTGGCAAGTTCATATGTCCTGCTGCTGAGTCATTCCTTCCCTGGCATTAGAACCTGCTCCTTCAGGATTTCAGTTTAGACAGTAGACAAGCTGAGACATCCATGTTGTAGACTAAACAACTGCCAGATTCTTGGCCTTTCTGTTGGAAGATAGTCATTCTTATACTAGCTGGAACACAGCCTATAAGCCACTCTAATAAATTCCATATTTATTCAATTTATTAGCCCTGTTCCCCTAGAGAATATTGACTAATGCAGATTATGATATTAGGAATGGGGGTCTAGAGAAAGAGAATCATTATAAGGATGAATTTTTAAAGCATCTAGAATAGGCTTTCCAATTTGCCTATACCTGCATTTACTGAAGCCTCTCCTAGTAGAGGGTGTGTACTATTCAAAGAACTTACTGAGATAAATGCATTTGATGATCCTGATTCACCTATTATGAGGAACAAGGAAGTTGGTGACATTATATTTTAAACTTTCAACAATTTGTGTGACAATAATGATGCTGGCTGGTTGCTTCTAGCACCTCTGGATAAATTAACAAAGCAGAAGAATGAGCGCCCTGATAAAATTAAGCCAACTTCTGTTCTCTCGGGACAAAGGAAAATAATAAACTCAGTGATGCAGTTGACCAGATCCAGATGTACAGAAACATTCTAGAGGATTTTAAGTTTTCCCCAGGAAGAGGATAGTCTCACAGAACTCAAGTAGTGAAAAGTTAGCTCGTAGTCCATATTATAAGATAAACTGAGCAGGGGTCTAGGTCCTCTCCATGGGTTGGTGCATCAATCTCTGCAGGCTCCCCTGGGTACAGATTTTTGGCCTTGTTGGTCTCCTTGTGGAGCGTCTGTCCCCTCAGGGTCCTTCTATCTTCCCCTTCTTCCATAAGACTCCCTGTGTACAGATGTAGCCCATAGGCAGCTCAGTTTTCTTGTGGGTTCCCAAGTAAGGGGAGCAGGGGCTGTCTCTGACATGAACTCTGTTGCCTGCTCTTTGATCACTTCCCCTGGCAGTGCATCTTTGCCAGAACTAAGAGGAAGAGGATCCAGGAAATCCTGATGAGACTTGATAAGCTAGGGTCAGATGGCAGAGGAGTTCACTTCCCCTTTAAGTAGACTAGGGGAAAGGGATGGGGGGGAGAGGGACAAAGGGTGGGGCTGGGAGGAGATGAGGAAGGGGGCTACAACAGGGATACAAAATGAATAAATTGTAAAAAATTAAAACAAATAAGTAGATAAGTTTAAAAAAATTGGCTGAATGAAACTCCAAATTTCAGCCTCAGAGGGTTTGGGCAGCTAAAGTAAGAGCACTGCTCAGTAAGAAATAGGATCTTATAATTTGGG